GTCAAGGAAGGGTAAAATGGTCTTTTACCCCTCTGAGGAATGATAATAAGGGGTAAAGTCTAGTTGTGGAAGTCTATATTAATTAAGATGATATTCATTATGATCAGGCGAGGTTGAGTCTTCGTTTGGGATTCAGAGATAGCGAGCACGTGAGATTCTAGACTTTCCACGAGGTGAGTTTTCTCACTATACTGTACCCGGAAGGGTTTTATTGTGTGATCGGAAGGTCGGATATGTTATGAGTTGTATGCATTGTATATGATAAGTTAATCGTTTGTATGTGCTATGTATGCTAAGCTTGATATGGGCCGGAAGGCATTATGTTATGGGCCGGAAGGTGTTGTGATATGGACTGCAAGGTTGACGTAGGTAGGACCGGAAGGTTTACCGAGTCGGGATGGAAGTCCCCTGAGACACATGGATCGGAAGGTCAAGACCTGGAAAGGCGTATGTGCATAAGTAGTATTTTGGGGAACTTACTAAGCATTTATGCTTACAGTTGTTGTGTTATGTGTTTCAGGTACTAGCGAGGACCGTGGGAAAGCGTCGGCGTGATTTGTACACACTGACGAAGGAACTGTTTAATGATCATGGGATTTATTTTGTTACAATGACATTTGTTACACATGTGATTTCAGAATATTAAATGATGGTTTATGATGTTTGCAAAAATGAAAAATTGTTTTGAAAATTTACGTTGTTACAATCACTCTCCAAAGGGGTTAGAAAACCCTAACTCTATAAATCAACACCAAAACTGAAGGAGGTTCGAACGATTACCTCAAAATGAAGTCTATGAATCCCTGGAACTGCTAGAATCGCACCTCCCCTCTTGCTCTTGCACCTCCTTCTTGCTAAACCAAAGATACAAGGATCAAAAGTGTCTTATTCTTCCTCCCAACGATTTGGCTCTCTTAGGGTTCTCTCAAGGGATTGGTAGCCGCAATGAGAGGCTATAAGTGTCCTTAAATAGGCTCCAAACCCGGGGATTTAGGGTTTCATTAAACAGTGTGGACTCGCCGAGTCCAAAGCAAATCCGGATGAACAATCACGACCCTACTCGGCGAGTCTACGCATCAACTCGCCGATTTTCTTCTCATAATTCAAAATAATTAAATAAAATAATATACCTGAAAACCCGGCTGTTACACAAATTCAGATAGAAGTGACGTTTGTAGAGAATGAGTGAGATCAACATCTCTAGAATATAATTCCTTCAATATGTCCCTTATATTTTTTACAGTCTGATACGAACTGACCAAACAAAAAGTGTCAAGATGAAGAGAAAACCTTATGATTCTTAATGCTTTTAGCCTGCACATCAATTTGTCCTTCTCAACAGAATCAATTTCAGTGTCATCAGCAACAATGGTATCATACTCATCTTAAGTTCTGACTTTAGCCATCGTCTTGGAATACTTCAATGTTTCTTGTATGATTGCTTGCTAAATTCTAGATCCATGAGTTTCAATAACTAGAAAATAATCTTCAAAGTGAAGAACCCAAACTTCTTAGTCTTCAAGGACTAGAATAGGAATTTTCGATGTAGAACCAATACTACTTGGTAGGTTGAACGTAGTTGAGTGTGAATATGCTTTTGACTATTTGAATGAAATGAAACAAGAATCATATCAATGAACTTGAAATAGGGATTTAGAATCAAATCGAAAGATTCAAACAAGGAGTTAAAGATCAAATTGCAAAATGTGGAATAGATCTGAAATTCGATGAACAAATCTGGAAAAACACGATGAATAATGAGATTTGAAAAACTTCAATTGATCTCCTTCTCTGATACTAATTGATGGAACAATAAGAATCAAGATTCAAAATGATAAAGAGATACACAAGAATACATCGGGTAAATAAGATTTCACTTTGATTAATGAGTTAGTACACAATTTATTACATAGACAATGAGTTAGTAGAACAATTTGTTTAAATTTTTTGATAAATTTAAGTAAAAAGATAAAAAAAATTTCTCAAAATTTTGGAATTATTCTTCGGATTTCGGATTTGTTATTAAAATTTCAGGGCTTTTTTTTTTCAAATCCGAAATTTTAGTCTGAAATTTGGAATAGTTGGTTCGGAATCCGAAATATCGTTCCGGAATTGGTTATTGTACCCCCAACTAAAGAGATTATAATATGTTTTTTAATGTCTGATATTGGATAACTACATATAATATATATTGACAATGGTTGTACCCTCATATCAAAATTTCTGGTTCCGCCACTGCTTCCCTTCATTTTTTTTGGGTGTTATACGAGTGCGCATTAATTCCCGTTACCACCACAACCTTCGTTTAACGACGCTTCCTTCTTTTTCTCTAAAAATGCGGGTGTGGACGTTGCCCACACCTACCCGCCTAAAAGGGAATTGTAAAATAATTGTTTTTCAATTAAATCTCTAGCAAATATTTGGTCTCAAATTTGATGATGAATAAGAATCAGTTTTTTTTGGGGTAATCGTTAATGCTTGAGAATTAACTTCCAGAATAATGGATTTAATTTTTGTCATGTGAGTCGCACGTTTTGATTTCAATGTAGAGAATTCTTGTTCGTTTTTAATTAAAAAGTAGGTTGGCATTAGAAATTTGGTATTGAAATATGTATTAAATAATATTCTCATCCGTTAAGGAATTATGTAACGCTTAATTGGCATATATATTGGAAAAGTATATAGACATTAGCAATTTGGGTATTCAAATATATATATTCTGTAGTATTGTAATCCATTCTTAGTTAAAAATATTTAATTGCCATAATATAATTAGCAATTAAGGGTATTTCATTCCATATGCAATTCTTATGAATATTCGTTACACAATTTAATTAATTAAAGAAACCGTCAATTGCTTTGAACAAATTCAAGAAACCGCCATTTGCTTAGAACAAGCGTGTAGAATCGGCAAGTTGTTATCGGAAACTAACATAAAACATAGTCAAAGATGATTTCACCTAAAGAGTTTCGGCAACTAGAAAACAAACCTTTTTACCCTTTATTTATTTTTGCTTTAAAAAATGACCCTCATACTCACATTGAATCAATTAATGCAAATCATTTTAAATGCAATAATGCATCACCTAATCTCTTATAATTCGGACATGATATTTGTTTCTGCAACTTGTTCAAAACTTACCAACTACATCCCTTAAAACCCGTACCCTAAAATGATTTGAATTGGTAAGTTATAAATATTAATTAATTCATTGCTAATATACTACCTATATATATCATTCATTGGAAAGTGTTTTGCATTTACATTTTCAGCATTTTCAATACTCACGTTTTTACGTTCTGAGAGATCAGTTGTCTTCTCCTATTGTTTCAGGTTATTTCAAAATTAACATCTTCATAACTTCATAAATCGTATTGTGTCTTATATTCTTTCTTTTTTTTTTTTTGGGGTGGTCTTTTAGTTTTACATATTTAGTATTACGTAATTAGTACATGTTTTTTTTTTTTACTGTAAACCCTATATTTATTTTCATTTGCGCTATTGTATAAAACAATTGTTCCAAATTAGAGCAATCTACTTTCAAAGTTTTCCTAGTTAGATCATTGTATGCATTATTATGTATGTGGGTGTACGTATTTTTTTCAACAAAATAGTAACGTAGACCATTTTATCAAAATCCAATTTTTAAATATTATATTTTTTGTCGTTGAAAATCATGCATTACATGTCTGTTGTGTTTTCTCAATTTTCACCAATTATTGCAATGTACTTTCAAGGCACATTGCTATAATTTGTAACATTGTATTAAAAAACAAACATAATGGGTAACAAATGCCGGCGCTTTTTAATGTGTTACAATATACTGTTTTGGTGGGAAAAATATATATTTTTTTTAATTATATTTTATGCATTCCTTTGTTGCAGGTATTATTTATGTTAATGTTTTACAATGTGATCATTTGAGTAAATTTAGTCTCGTACATAGATCATTTAGTCATTTACGTAACTATCTAACTATCGCTTCCTATATGTGTATTAATCTGTCAAGAATTCATAATACACAAAATTTCAAACATATATATATATATATATATATATATATATATATATATATATATATATATATATATATATATATATATATATATATATATATATATATATATATATATATATATATATATATATATAAATAATAAGTAAAATAAACATGACTTAGAACCTTACGTATGCTATACAAAATGCGAAAACAATTGTTAACTAACTAATTGACAAATCAAAACTTGGTCAGTTCTTTGTTCACAAAGCTTGCTCATTTCTATGTTCACACATCTTCCTAACATTTTCATCAAACTTAACATTCAAAATATCTTTTGATTTGAGTAAATTACACACGAAAGGTCTTATAGTTTGAGGTAATTTACACGTTTGCTCCCTAACTTATTCTTTTAATTCGAAAGATACTATTATTTAAATAGAGAAAATAGCGGGTATGTAAGATAAGATGATAGGGGTGGGGTTGAGATGTATTTAATTATTTAAATAAATTATAAAATTATTGGCAAAATATTATTTTTAGGTAAGACAATGACAAAATACGTAACAAAAAATAAATAGTATAGATGACAAGATACGTAACAAAAAATAAATAGTATAGATGTTTCGAGTTAAAAAATATAAGTTATAGATAAAAAATGCAAGTTATCCTAAACCATAGGACCATTTGTGTAATTTACTCTTTTAATTTTTAATCTTCTCAGGGATTCCTGTGTTTTTGTTTGACTCCACGAATCAGTCCAATTTTTCTACAATGGCAAAACATAACCAGAACCAAAATCAAAATCAGAACCAGAGCCAGAATCAAAATCAGAGCCCGAATCAAACCCAGAATCAGAAGAAGAATCAAAACCACAACAGAAACTTGAATTCAAACAAAAACAACGAGGATTTCATTTTGAAGGAGACGACACCGAGTCTAGGAGGAGGAAGGGTTCCCGGCAATGAAAGATATGGAACAACATTTGATCTTGTGGAGCAGATGCATTACTTATACGTAAAAGTCGTGAAGGCCAAAAGTTTGCCACCAAAACAAGATAACGACAACAATTTCCCAGACCCTTATGTTGAAATTAAACTTGGTAATTTTATTGCATGCACTACAACACATTTAGAAAAGAACCCAAATCCAGAATGGAACCAAGTGTTCGCATTCCCAAAAGAGAGAATCCAATCATTAACACTTGAAACCATCGTCAAAGACAAGTCCATTACTGATGTGGATAATTCCATCGGTGGGATTTCTTTCGACATCAATGAGCTCCCCACTAGGGTTCCGCCGGATAGTCCTTTAGCGGCTCAATGGTACATGTTACATAATGGAAACGGAGAGTTAATGGTGGCTGTTTGGATGGGAACACAAGCCGATGAATCGTTTCCGGAAGCTTGGCATTTGGATACCCTTTCAGTCAACAGCGAAAATGTCACAAATATTCGATCCAAAGTATATCTATCACCTAGACTCTGGTATCTTCGAGTTCATATAATCGAAGCTCAAGAATTGCCGATTAGAAATAAGGAGCAAGAGATTGTTGTGAAAGGTGCAGTTAAGAGCACTGTTTTAAGAACTAAAGCTCTCCCAAGACCTTCGTGGAATGAGGATTTGATGTTCGTAGTAGCAGAACCATTTGATGAACAACTGGTTTTAAGCGTAGAAGAGAAGAACGGACTGAAAGAAGAAGTTATCGGAAGGTGTTCGATCTCGTTACATAATGTGGAGAAACGTATCGATAATCTAGTTGTTATCGATAGCAAATGGTATAATCTCGAGAAGAACACGGAGACACTGAGTAGCAAGATTCATATACGCGTTTCTTTAGATGGTGGGTATCATGTTCTTGATGAGTTAACTCAATACAGCAGCGACCTTCGACCAAGCTCCCGACTATTAAGCTCCCCAAGCATTGGGATTCTAGAACTCGGAATCTTGAATGCACAAGGATTAACACCATTTAAATCAAAAAGCGGTCGTGTAGCCATGGATGCTTATTGTGTAGCAAAATATGGACATAAATGGATTCGAACAAGAACAGTAATCGATTCTCTCAATCCAAAATGGAATGAGCAGTACACCTGGGAAGTTTTCGATCCATGTACAGTGATCACGATTGTCGTTTTCTGTAATTGCATGGACACAAGTCCCGGGTCGAAAGATTCCCGAATCGGGAAAATCCGAATCCGGTTGTCTACCCTCGAAACGGATAGGGTTTACACTCATTCATATCCACTCATCGTTTTAGAGCCTACAGGTGTCAAAAAAACTGGCGAAATCCAACTTGCTGTTAGGTTTACTTGCTTTTCAGTTGTAAATATGATGCAGGTTTACTCACAACCATTGTTACCAAAGATGCATTACATTCATCCGTTGAGTATTCTTCAGCAATATAGTTTAAGACACCAGGCGACTCAAATAGTCGGGATGAGGTTAAACAGGGCTGAGCCGCCGTTGAGGAGGGAGGTGGTGGAGTACATGCTTGATGTGAGTTCAAACATGTGGAGTCTGCGGAAGAGTAAAGCTAACTATTCCCGGATTATTTCGGTTCTTTCGGGTGTCATTTCGTTTTACAAATGGTTTGATCATATACAGAATTGGAAGAACCCATTTGTAACTGTTCTTGTTCATTTCCTGTTCTTGGTTCTTGTTTTCTACCCACAGATGATCATGAGCACGATGTTGTTTTACTTGATTATGATCGGGATTTGGAAGTATCGATCTAGATCGAGGTACCCTTCTCATATGGATGTTAAACTTTCATATGCTGATAAATTAAATCAGGATGAACTTGAGGAAGAGTTTGATAGTTTTCCGACGTCGAAAACACAAGATGTGTTGCGTGGGAGATATGATCGGTTGAGAAGTGTGGGTTCTAGGGTTCAGACGGTGGTCGGTGACTTGGCAACTCAAGGAGAGAGGGTTCAAAATTTGGTGACGTGGCGGGACCCACGAGCCACCGCTGTGTTTTTGGTGTTCTGCTTTGTTTCGGCTATTGTTCTTTGTTTTATTCCGGTGAGAATGGTGGTTATTACGACGGGGTTTTTTGTGTTGCGGCATCCCAAGTTTAGGGTTGGGCTTCCTTCGGTGGCGATGAATTTTTTTAGGAGATTGCCAGCAAGAAACGATGGATTATTGTGA